TATATATATATATATATATATATATATATATATATATATATATATATATATATATATATAACAAAAAATTTGACGCCCATAAATTTAAACATTAAATATATATACGTGACAACTAGTTTTGGAGATCAATTCAAAAATATTAAAAAAAAACAAATGACCATAACTTATATATCAATCCAAAAGCATAAAAAAGATACATGAAATATAAAACAAAACAAAATATAATTTTAAATGAATAGAAACGTATCAAGATCAAATCCAATTAGAAATTTTGAGACATTAAGGTATTAAATGGATCAATTTTATGTTCGCTTAGTAAATGAAATTCTCTATCAACTTCATTTTAATAGAAAACATTACTATTTTCTTCTTAAAATTAGTTACATAGCGGTTTTTAACAGTGCAGTATAACCGTTTCAATCGAGTTTATATAAAAATAGTCTGTTCATTTCAATTCTTAAATAATCAAAAAGGCTAGTTGAACTGTTATCTTTCCCAGATTCAACTGGCGGTCTGACCCGATTTTTAAAACATTGATTTTAACAAAAATAAATTTAAGCATGGGAAATGGCATGTATTTATTATTGATATTAACAAAAATAAATTTAACCATGGGAAATGGCATAAAGTAAGGAAATGGCATGTATTTATTTTAAAGTAAGAAAATAAGAAAGGAAATAGATGGACCCATATTTAAGTTTGGTTGTGCCACGTAGGTTAAGTGTGACCCGTCTCATTCGAGTGTGGGTCGGAGTAGGTTTGACCGATTCAAACTAAACTTCTTGCATAAGAGAAAACATTTTTTTTTTCGCAATTTACATTATATATTTTATGATCAAATTAATTGCCAAAAAACCAGTAATTTAAAATTTCAAATAAATTACGCATCAATAAATCCAAAGATCATTTTAATGAATTTATGTTATGAAATTTTCAGAATTAATTATAGTAGTGTAGTTTTGAGTACTCTAAACTAGAATTAAGTGGAAGAGACGACGGAGAAAGAGGGCTTTGTTCTTCCGTTGCCTGAACCCTTTTTCTGCTCTCCAATTTGTCACGATCTCTACAACAAAACGAGCTGGCATTCTTTGATCTCATCGCCTTCAAATGGGTCTGGTTCCATTTTCGTTTTTCTTGATGAAATCTCATGCTTATCAGGTACACTTTTTAACCTTTATCTTTCACTGTATTTGTGTTTTCCTTTTTTGGGTGTTGGAATTTTTGTTTGAATTACTTCATGAGAACCAATGGGTTCTGCTTGATTCATGTTTGGGCAATGCATATTCTTTTCTTCACTCTAGCTTTCGTTGAGCTGATTTGTCCTTTTCCACAATCAAGGTTCTTACAGTTTTGTAAATTCATCTTTCAATTTGACTAGGCATTCGTCTGTTACGCTGTAGGGGTAAGGGTTTTAATCTGATCTTCGTTTTTTTTTTGTTATCCCAATTCGTATTATCATTGCTTAATATTAAAACCACATGAGTATTGTCCCAATTGAGGTTCATGTACTGTTTTCTTGCTTTTGCGATAAACGATTTCAGTTTGCCGCTCTACTATTTGACTAAATGCGAAAGCCAAATCTGCGACTCCTATGAGCATGTTTAGGCACAAATTGCGCTTATTAACATCAATCTAATCTATTGAACATTTGCAGGAGGTAAATCCAGCATTCTTATAAGTTTATCGTGGCCAAATCAATAAAGTTACCCCAGTGTTCTAAATTCTGCTGAAAATCTCATATAATGGCTCATGGAAGGATGCGAGCTAGGCTAAAAAGAAGCAGTCTCTACACATTCGGATGCATTCGACCACCTCGTGAATCAATCGATGAGCCTCATCAGTTTCAAGGGCCAGGATTTTCAAGACATGTTTGTTGTAATGAACCCGGATTCCATAGAAAAAAACCCCTCAAATATTCTTCAAATTACATATCAACCACAAAGTACAATGTCATAACCTTCCTACCCAAAGCCCTCTTTGAGCAATTCAGGCGAGTTGCAAACTTGTATTTCCTCCTAGCTGCAGCCCTATCTATCTCACCTGTTTCACCTTTCTCACCTTACAGTATGATTGCACCTTTGGTGTTTGTAATCGGGCTTAGTATGACAAAAGAAGCTGTGGAAAATTGGCACCGATTTATGCAGGATATGAAGGTAAATATGCGAAAAGTTTCAGTCCATATTGGAAATGGTGTGTTTGTTAAAAAGCCATGGATGAAAGTTGAAGTTGGAGATGTTGTCAAAGTTGAAAAAGACCAGTTTTTTCCTGCAGATTTATTGTTTCTATCATCTAGTTATGAAGATGGGATTTGTTATGTGGAAACCATGAATTTAGATGGGGAGACAAATTTAAAAGTTAAAAGATCTCTAGAGGTAACTTTACCTTTAGATGATGATCAAAGTTTTCAAGATTTCAAAGCAACAATCAAATGTGAAGATCCAAACCCTAATTTGTACTCATTCGTGGGTAATTTCGAATATGATCGACAAATTTACCCTCTTGACACCACCCAAATTCTTTTAAGAGATTCCAAGCTTCGAAACACTTCTCATGTTTATGGGGTGGTGATATTCTCAGGTCATGATAGCAAAGTTATGCAAAATGCGACGAAATCGCCCTCGAAAAGAAGCACAATTGAGAAACAAATGGATAAAATCATCTATGTTCTTTTCACACTTCTTGTGTTGATCTCTTTGATAAGTTCAATAGGGTTTGCAATCAAGACAAGTAAACAAATGCCCTTTTGGTATCTTCCTCACGACGAAAAACGGTTATACGACCCGACCCGCCCGTTTACCTCGGGTTGTATTCATTTAATCACTGCACTTATTCTTTACGGGTATTTGATACCCATTTCACTGTATGTTTCCATTGAGCTTGTGAAGGTATTACAAGCACTTTTCATAAATCAAGATATAAACATGTATGATGAGGACACATGTACACCTGCTCAAGCTAGAACATCAAATTTGAATGAAGAATTAGGGATGGTGGACACGATTCTTTCTGATAAAACCGGGACATTGACATGTAATCAAATGGATTTTTTAAAATGCTCAATAGGTGGGACCCAATATGGGATTCGTTCTAGTGAAGTGGAACTTGCTGCTGCAACTCAAATGGCTATGGAGGTTAATGATATGTCAAGAACCAGGACCCGACACGGGTCGGAAATTGAATTGGAGGTTTTACCGGGTCCCACAAGTGGAAGCTCTCAGAATCGAATCAAGGGGTTTAGTTTTGAAGATATTCGGTTGATGAATGGGAATTGGTATAAAGAGCCAAATGCAGATGTTGTTTTGATGTTTTTAAGGATTCTTGCTCTTTGTCACACTGCAATTCCTGATGTAAATGAGTTGACTGGGGGTTTGACTTATGAAGCTGAGTCACCAGATGAAGGAGCTTTCCTTGTTGCAGCAAGAGAGTTTGGATTTGAATACTGCAAACGAACTCAATCGAGTATATTTGTTCGTGAAAAGCACCCTTCATCTCATGAGCCAATTGAAAGGTATTAATATGATCTCAATTAACTGGTTGTTTCTTTTTAATGTGATTGACTTGATACATTAAGCACTTAATCTGGACAGATATATACAACTGTTTCTCTTTGACTTAACACATTAAGAATGGCTATAGTTATTAATTAGTGTTTCTATTCTTAAATATTATCATGGAACAGGGAATACAAACTTCTAAATCTTTTGGATTTCACAAGCAAACGAAAGAGGATGTCAGTCATCATTCAAGATGAAACTGGACAAATTTTCCTACTATGCAAAGGTGCAGACAGGTAGGACATTTTTTTAAAAGTACAATTTCCTAATAAGAAAATATATAAAAGTATAATGATATAATCATCATCATCTAATTCTCTTTGTAGCATCATCTTTGATCGTTTATCGAAAAATGGAAGATCATTTGAAGAAGCCACAAAAAGACATCTAAATGAATATGCAGAAGCTGGATTACGTACGCTTGCATTTGCTTACAAAATACTTGATCCATCAGAATATTTCACTTGGAATGATGAGTTTTTGAAAGCTAAAACTTCCATTAATGGTGATCGGGATGCTATGCTTGAACGTTTATCTGACATAATGGAAAAAGACTTGATCCTTGTTGGTGCTACTGCTGTTGAGGACAAATTACAGCAAGGGGTATGTATCTATGTATCTATGTGTAGCATGTTATCGATTTTTTTTCTGAGGGTAAAATCGTCTTTTTTTATAGGTGCCTCAATGCATCGATAAACTTGCTCAAGCTGGTCTTAAAATTTGGGTTCTCACAGGGGACAAGATGGAAACTGCAATCAATATCGGGTATGATCCAAAAATCCAAATTAGGGCATGAAATTTAGCAACAGAAATTTAAGGGCTGTTTCTTTTTGACTTAATGAATTGAGCCACAAAACCTGGCTTAATGTATTAAGACACTAACCATTTACCTATTTTCCTTTCTACTTTTTTTTCTCCCAACTCTTCTCATGTTAAAAATTGATGAATATTGTGAAATTCGTTTTTTGGAATGCAAGGGTAAAATGGTCTTTTAGTCTCATTTAAAATTATCTTGGTATGTGCAGATTTGCTTGCAGTTTACTTCGGCATGGAATGAAGCAGATATGTATAACAACAAACATCGACGTTTTAAACCACAATTCCAACGAGGTATTTGTTCATATTTAAATGTCAATTCATGAAGGAAACTGTTTTCATTGTTTTTATTTTTTATGATCAGGGTGTTAAGGAGAATATTTTGATGCAAATTACCAATGCTTCTCAAATGGTTAAACTCGAAAAAGATCCTCATGCTGCATTTGCATTAATAATTGATGGGAAGACATTAACGTACGCTTTAGAGGACGATTTGAAGCTTCAATTCTTGAATTTAGCCGTTGATTGCGCATCTGTCATATGTTGTCGTGTCTCCCCTAAACAAAAGGCGTTGGTAAATATTTTTTTGTCACAAATTGAATATATATATATATAGGGAAAAGTTCAATAGAGAACCATAATTATTGGTTCTTCAAGGAACCAAATCTTTTTTTAAATTTCTAGAGCTTATTCTTTATCGAAAAAAAAATCAAAAAATATCTAAATTCATTTATTAACATTGTGAATGTGAAAAATATTTTTCAGATTCACCATGTGAATCCGGATTCACATTGTGAATTTTCCAAGATTCACATTGTGAATTTAACGTAAAAAAAAAAAAAAAAAAAAAAAATCGAATTTGATATCATTGGAAAAAGGATAAGAAGTTATGAATTTCTGTATTTTTAGTTTTTTTTTGATAAAAAATAAGTTCTAAAAGTTGAAAAAAAGATT